TATCGAGGGGAAAAAAGGGTAAAGCTTGACTCAAACCAAACTGCCCAAGAAGAGCTGGGGATAATAAGTGACGAGTTGAAGATCCTTCGATTGAAAACCCGATACTAGAACGTCCTGAGTCAAGTAATTATTCGACACCTCGACCAATTCAGATTGTAAACCTGGAGTACGAGCAGGGAATTTTGATTTAAACCATGCCGGCCCTCGAAGCTTGTCACTTACTTTTCCATGATAGATGGTGAAGGGGGCCAAGTTCGACTCAAAATGAAATTGAGTCAACAAAAATTTTAGATAATTTTTATAACTAGTCTCATCGGATTTCTTGTGAGGGTGTCGAGAGGATAATCGAGCGCCTTCTAGATTCAAACTTGGGAGAATTTTGGAGGTTGGGGAGAGGATACTTTCAAAAATCGAGGTAAGCCATAATTGGATAAACCAGATTGGACCCGAAAAATTCCCTGAGGCTCTTGGGGTATTCAAAATATCAACAGCCTCATCAAAAGAGGTATAAACATGGGCTAATAAAAGCTTCGCCAAACAAATCCTGGGTTGGCCGGTATGGAGGAGATAAGCAAGATTATAAAGGTGGGGTGAGATTTGGATGGATCGGGGGCAAAAGACGTGGGTGCAAAGCCAATATACCAGAAAGGTCACGTGCTCCTCATCAGAAACAACCACTGTTTGATAATCGACAAAATGTTTTTCGAGAAAATGTCCATAGGCCTTCGATTCCCAATCGATTTTGGACCTTAAAGAATTATCCGAAGGGAAAGCACCCTTATAGTATTTCTCCCCTGTGGGTTTTAATCCAGTAATCGCAGCAATTTCAAAAAGGGTGGGTGAAAGGGGACCACAAGGAAGTTCCAGTGCATGCAAATCCTTATTCCACAGATGGATAGCTGATAAAAACATAGCCATATCTAAAAACGATAGATCACATCGAGACAGATGTAGAAAATCGAAGATCCCCACATCTCTCCAATGGTTCCCGAACTTAGTTTTAATTCGGTCAAACCACCTAATGTACAAGGGTTTTTTGTGGGGAGGGCCTGTTCGATATACCTTGGAGACAATATTCAGAAAATCAATTCGCACCTCGGTCTGATGAATAAGAGCCTTACTCTCTGAAGAAAGGTTGAGGGAAGAAGAAAATGATCCGCCACAGTAGCGGATAGGACCACCAAACGCATAATTTACATTATCAGCAACATAAGGGATAAGTACCTGGGTCTCGGCAACCCTCTGAGAGGCTTCTTCCATCAAAGGAATCGGAGCAAACTTCTTCCTATTAATCTCTATTAGGTTGGAGGTCACCGAGGAAAGTGGTGGGGCGGAGAAATCAGAGGATTTGGAGGTCGCCATTACAGTCGGTAGAGAAAAGGAAGATGAAAGGTTGAAGATGAGGAAGTGCAACGAAGGAGGAGGTTCGTGGTAAAAACAAGGGTAAAAACTGATAAACGTATTTTAAGAGGCCGAGTTAGGGTATTTGAAACGACGGATGTGAAGAGGGTAATTAATGTGGCGTGCGCGTTGTGACAGCAGATGGGATATGATTTGATATTTGACATAAAACCCTAAAAACCCCAGAAACCCTAGAAACCCTAAAAAGATATTATGAGCTCCGAGAACGTTTAAAAGGGCGAGAGTTATTTTGAAAGAATATAAAATTGATACAAATTATATTCTTTCGAGGGGGCATTTGTTAGTAAAAAATCGACATAAAAATCAAGAAACAAAAGAAGAGAATTCAATGGTTATTGCTAAAGAAATTCGAGAATTGGAAATCGAGAATCGAAAGAAATACAGGAAATTTGATGATCATGGGGAAGTAAAAATCAATGAAAGGTATTGAGTATGAAGTTAAATGGAAAGCCAGGAATAGTTTTAAATACTCGATAGTTGAGGTCAAGATCAAAGGAACGGTTATCATGCACATGGAACGTGGGAAACGGTATTCTCAAAGCCGCAACTAAGACAAAAATCGAGAGATAGTTAACGTACGTGTACATGGAACGTGGTAGCAGTTTTCTAAACTGCTCTTAGGAGGTTACGTTGAAGCAGGACCTATAAATAGAATGAAGCATGAAAAAGAAAGGGAAATTGGCAGAGACAACAGAAGCGTAAGTGAATAGTCTACAGGAGAACGACGCATCATGAAGTTTCTAATGCTCTGGATTTCCCTTTTCATTGATTATCTTTATCGCTTTCTCTACTTTCCCTGGTAATTTACTTTCATTGCAGTTTACGTTTGTCAAACTTTAAGTTTTTGTCCTTTTGATTCCTTGTCATTTACTTTTATGCAAGTTAAGGTTATGCGTTTAAGATCCTCGCTATTTACATTTCTGCAATTCCGATTCTTTGCTTTTTACACTTAATGCAAATTTGAGGTTTCCGCACTTTACATTTTTTTGCAATTTAATATTCTGCACTATCTTTCGATTCGACATTTTTTACTGTTTTCTTTACTTCGCGTCTCTTAATGAAAAATACCAAAAATAGTACTTTCGATTTGCCTACTAAGTTGTGTTGTTTACATTTTTGAAACCATGGGATTTCTGATTCTCATGCATTTTTTCGATTGAAAACCGTTTGCTAGCCTAAATAAAAAGAATCTACGTGGTTAAAATTTAGTTAGAACCTAAGTCTTTGAAAAATCAAAATCGATCAAATTTTCACTAGAAACAACCCTTAATCAATAAAGCAATGATAAAAGTATCCAATTATTTTAAGAAAAATATTAAAAAATGAGTAAAAGTTATTACTTAATATTAAATTTAGATATAAAAAATAGCAATTCAGTAACTCATTTTTACTTTTACACATATTTCATGCACTAGTAATAAATTTACAATAATAACAAAAAAACCACAAATATCATAAATATTTTTTTTATATTAAGTCAATTTATATAACCCTATCGATCCGTGGTAGATCTATTTTTTATTCAGTAAAACTTTTTTATAGTTCAGAAAAAATATATTTCCACTTATCTCATAAAAAAAACGAGAAACATAGTTAAATATATTTTTTAATGATTTATATTAAAAAAAACAATCAAACTTGAAAAGAAAGTAACATTTTAAACTCCAAATTCCTTTGTTAATGTTATCAAAAGTTCCCAATCCAAGTAGTAATATATACTTTTTGAATAATAGAACTTCTTAACTTAATAGTAAATAGTGGAGGAAGAATGTTCTTATGAATTTAGTAACACATTTAGGCCCAGGACTTATTGGGCCACATTAATTACCCATTAAGGCCCAATTTTTTTCCTTTTGATTGATCCATTCACAACTATGCATGAATTTGCCGACAAAGCAAAAGTTACAGCCTGAAAAGATTTTAATAAAATACTTTATAATATACGTATTAATCTTTTAGGGTTTCGATCTTACACATCAATTACTTAAATTTAACCCTATGTATTCTTACCTCTGTCTGCACAACTTTCCCTCATTTCAACAACTTTATTTGTATTCTTGACTTTAACTTTTTTAAAGATATATTATCTACTACCATACCCCAAATTATAAAGATTCATTCACTTGTTACGATGGATTTATAGTGTGGATTCGGAAAACATGGATTAGGGAAAGAGATTTTAATTATCGAATTGTGATTATCATTAACTTGTTTAACATTTTCATTAATTGGAAAGTGTTTGTTTAAACAGAATGAGAAAATAATTGAAGGAAATGTATATAAGAAACGATGTTTTTAGATTTGGGATTTTATGCAATTTACGTGACTTTTTTCACGAGAAATCATATAAAGAAATACTTTATCAAAAGTGAGTGAATCACTTGTTATTTGATCAAATGATTTACTTTTTCAATTTCGTTTTTATCTCGGAATTTTATGAAAGTTTTCAATTTCGTTTATCCACGATATTTTTTACAAAGAATAAAGTTTACTTTGTCAATAAGTCATTGTGTACAATAAATATAGAAGTGTTAGACCAATAAGCATAAAATTAAAATTAAAATGATATTATTTTAATAATATTATCATCTTATAAATATTAATTTTTTACAGATTATTAATATTTATAATATATAAAATTAATTCTTGGGAGTTCAAAATACTTTTAAATAAAAGTAAAATATAGGAATAATAGTCACCTAAAGTTTGAAGTAAAATTCTTTGAAAGAAGCATATTTAGTTTCAATAATCTATTAAGCAATTTAACTTGGTTTCTCTTTAATTTCGTAGAAATTTAACAAAAGTACAATTACCTTGCAACTCCTAAATATATTTTGTGTGTTTCAGTAGATACACTTTATGTAATTTTACGTAATATCCAATTTGTACATCTATAAATTTTCTTAAATGTTAATGGAACTTTTTTTATAAAAAAATAAATAAAAACTTGGAAAACACAAATAATGAAAAAAAGTATTAAGACCTAAGTATTCAGTTTCGGATACAAATATTAGGAAATGATATGAATATTTTGGGATGAGAAGTGCTATAAAGACATACATAAACCAAAAAGTTTGTTAAAATGACAAGTGATGAATATCCCACAATTTTCTCCAAATGAAGTACATAAATATGTGCCATCATTATATACCATTTTCGTAACTTATTCCACCCTCTTGAATTTGTCATTTGAGCTTCATGACTTGAAACACATACTAACTAACTAGTGCCCCTAAAACCTTACATTACCAAACAAGAACAAAGGCAAAAAAAAAAAAAAAAAAGTAAAATTACACCTTCTCCCACCAATCCTTTCATTATACCACCCCCGAATTAAGTAATATTACAATTCACATTGTTGATAGAAAAAAAAATTAATCATGTTTTTCCCTAAAATTTAAAATAATTTTGATATTGGTCTCCCAAATTTGATGAAGATTTTTTGTTTTTAATCTTTGAAATTAAAAAAGAAAACTTTTTAAACTTGGGAGATCAAAACCAGAATTATCGAAAATTTTAAGGATTAAAAACATAATTGAAAGGAAAAAACCAAACCCCTCTAAGAAAGTTAGTTATCTTCATGGAGAATTTATGTTGTTAAAGATATCAGCTGGAGGGATGAAATGGTCCATGGAGAGTCCAGGGACATTGAACATCACATCATCAATGGTCCAAATCTCTTCCATCCGGGTTCGGCTATGCTGCATCGAGAGTTCGCCGAACCGGAACACCGTCGCGATGGAGCGCCCTTGATGTGCGATGAGGACGCCATCAACGTCTCTGTAGTCGCCGATGCTGCTCCCAATGGTGGTCTCCCAGAACACCGTATCATTGTCTTGCGTTGGGACCCGCGTGAGGTGAGAGTCTTCGAGGTATATGAGGAGGCCGCTCTTTTGGCAAAAGTAACCGTAGAGAATGTGCCTTATCACCTCTGCGGGACCCTCGCTCCGTTCAACCACCGCCGCACGATCCGCAGAAACCTTCAGCACAAAGCAATCAACGGTCCCGATTCGGTTCTCGCCCAAGCATTGCGCGTTCGTGAATAAACTCGCTGTGGTCTTCGGATCCAAACCCTAATATCATGATTTGTGGCACTTTTAAATTATTTATTATCCTTGATGAGAATAGTATATATATATATAGTATAAGGTAGGAATATTTTGTTTAAGATACTACAACACAGCATCTATGACAGTCGGAAAAATCATAATGAATAGAATTTGTTTTGTCAGTTTATGATTTATTTATACACTTTATTGAAAAGAAGAAAAACATGGTGTTGATAAACGAGGGAAAGGAGTGTGACGCGTTATCCTATGCAATGCCAAACATTGGTGAAGAGTGAAACAAGTACGAAATGAAAAAGGGAATATTTAGGCATGAAAGCAGAGGCAATAATGCAGTGGAGGAAGCACTGTTCAGTAAAGTGGAAAATTAAAAGGAAAAGTTAAAGCAAAAGGATAATCCAAGGTAGCCTAGCTATCTGCAATAAGTGGCAATCCCAAGATCATGACTCATGAACCATAAAAATAATCATAGATGACATCAGATTGACAGTCACGTGGCATGGAAGTATGCTAATTCTTGAAGAAAACCAGTCCACATTGTAGGGTAAAGCATGGGACAATTTCTCCACCATTGTCAGCTCGATATATACCATACATTCATTGGGATTTCAATTTTTCTTTTCAATCTTATATTTATTTGGTACAACATGCTTTGAACCCTAGCCCATGTCCCCAGCCTCAGTTCCAACAAATAAAGTCTACCTACCAAACAGATCACCAATAAAATCAACACAACCTGCTCAATTTTTTCTTGGCGTCAAGCTACAGAAAACAGTGAGCAAAATTACTTTTTGTTTTAAATTTTTTATCTTGGTCCTAAGACAAGTTATAACATTAACATCAAGTTAATGAGCTAGCCACTAAATCAAGTTAATTGTAGGTCTCGTTTCTTTACATTGTTTTGTATGCATTAATTAGGTAATTAGATTATGAGTTAGTTAATGGGATCTATTTTTTAGCAATTTTGATTTTTTGTTATACCTGAATGATACGACGCAATGGTCTTTGGGGGCCTTTGGCTGCATGTGTGCCTAGCCATGGTGTGTGCCGCCACACGGTTTTGCCATTGCTTCCTGCAACCACCTTGTGGTCACCAACCACCAATTCAAGTGACCACATCCCAGGTAGCATCTGCCATAGTACAAAGCAACCATTTTCACTGCTTCTTGTGCCCAAACACTTGACATTCTTCCCAGATGAAATCTCTGTCTCACAACATATCATCTTCACCATCCCTGTGGCATACATGTTCTTAGTGTCCTTTTGCTGCTTCAGGCACCCTGTGGCAGCCAAATACTGCTGGATAATGTACTTGGCAGTTGAAGTTTCCTGTTTGAAGTCACATTTATGAAAAATGTCACCTAATCAGATCATATACATCATATTGGAATTAACACTACCAAACTCTAAAATCTTAATCATGTAAAAAAAAAAACATTGACATAAATAGTTGGTGTGACTGCACATATAGCCACAATGCAGCTACCAGACATTTAAACTAAAACCTTGAGTTGTATAGAAAAAGCAAAAAAAAACAAAAAACAAAACTTAGTAGCTTGTGTTGTGTTTGTGATTGAATTTACTTTGGCGAAATGAAACATTAATTATAATAGGACAACAACATTAAAAGCACCAAAAAGAACTACATTAAATTCTGTACAAACAAAAAGCAAACATATGGAAGTGTAGAGAGAGAGAGAGAGAGAGAGAGAGAGAGAGAGAGCTTACAAATGGGGTGTCTTTAATGTGAATGCTAACGGTGGGATCATGAGCTGAGGGAATAGGGGCCAAGGGGCATCCCAAGACACCAAGCAAAAGCCTCAAATCTTGGGTCTTGGCATGAATGGTTCCATAGAATGATTGTGAGAAGCTTCCACCTGGGGAGATCTTCTGGGTTCTGAACCATTCCCTTATAACTTCCCAGGAGCTCTCTTTCTTGGTGCCTTCCTCTTGCATTTCAGGGCCAGGACCTTCCATTAAGGGTGTCAAAGGCTGTGGAGCCCAACTCTGGCGCCAACGTGCTCTAGAACCCATTTGGGGCATGTAAGAGTCTGGAGAGCAATGATTATTAGGAAGATAGAATGGAATTGAATGCAGCAGAAGATGGTGAGAGAATAATGGAACACAAGGAGGAAAAGAAGAGGTATGAATGTGGATGCAGTTGGGGAGTTAAAAAGAGAGAGAGAGAGAGAGAGAGTGTGTGTGTATGTGAGTGAGGAAGTGATGGGGAAGAGACAAAAGCGACAGATTATCTGTTCAACGGCAGAGAAATGACATTATTATATAATACAAACTCGCATGTTGGGCTGTCTATTGCTTTATTCCACTTGCTTTGGGACTCACTCTTGTCGTTACATTTTTATACTGTTTACATATTTTTTTATTCTCTCGAGCTAACCTATTCCCCATGCCACCATAGGTCCCATGGGGATTGGCCTACCACCTTTCATCAATTACTATCTCTTTCCATCACTAAAGTTTTTCCATTTTTTCGATATTTGAGTTCTACCAATATCTAAATATACATGTTTCTTCATTCTTTGGTACTACTAAATCATAACTCATGTCTACTACCTGACCATTTTAGTTACATTTTCTTATCATTTTGATTTGCTTCTGCAGGTTCTTTATGATGAAAATTAGCTGTGTAGAATTGTTTAGTTTTCGGCAATTAAATAAGCCTCTTGAATTATTAATTTTTTAATTTATTAATTCAATAAAAATATAATTTTTAAAATAAATAAACTTATAAAAAAATTAATATGATAAATAATATATTTAAAAAATATTTAAATAAAATTCGATTAAGTTTATTTATCCAATTAGATTTATTTACTATTTATACAAAAAATCTATTAAAAAGAAATAAATTCGTATGACATAATATAGTTTTTTTCTTACCTAATTTATTTTCTTAATTTTCTTTTTCTTTATTTATTTTTTATTTTTTTCTCTTTTATTTTAATTAAAAATAATAAATTAAAATTTGATAACATGAATTTTTTATTATTATTGAAAATACAAATATTTAAATGATCTAAAAATATTATAGATAAATTTGAGATGTTATAAATATTATTATGTTATAATTATTTAAAAAATTATTTTAAAATATTTTTTAATAAATATTTTTTTTAAATGTCTAACCTAACTAATTATCATAACTTAGCCTAATTATAATAAGATTAAATTATTAAATAAAAATACATTTAAATTATAAATATTTCATATTTTTTAATTTGATAAATAATTATTTATTATAATAAAATAATTTTAAATTATTTATTTATGTTATCCTAAATAAAATTATTTATTGTTAAAATAAATAAAATTATTTATTAATAGTATAATTTTAAATAATTAGTTAACATTTTTTTTAGTTTTAATATATTTTTATTAAATTTTAATATAATAATTGGGAGAGAGAAATAAGAGACGTAACAGAAAAACAAGAAGATAAGGATGAGTGGGTAAAGAAAAATGAATTATGAAAGGAGGGAAAGAAAAATTATACGTATAAATAATAAATCAGTCCATGGATAAATAAATTTATATAAATTTTATTTCAGTTATTTTTCTTTTAAAATATATTATTTCTAAGATTCATTCAATAATTATAATTAGTTAATATTTCTAGAAAATTATATTAACATAGTAAATGTTTATAATAAATAATAATATTTATAATTGCATTCCTCTTAAATTATTAAAATACACATTCAATTTATTTATTCATTTTAAATATATTTTTTTATGATAAATAAAATTTTATACAAACAATTACAATATGGTTAAATTATTTAATTGTGAATTTTGTTAAGGAAATTAAATTAACATATTAAATATGTTTAATAAATAATAATATTTACAACTAAATTCTTATTTAATAATTATAGAAAATGGCTTTCCTTGGAATTAATTTTATAATTGGAAATGATATTTTTTAAACCATGTCAACCAATTTTTTATATTTCATACTTATTTTAATAAATAGTGTAACATCCAATATATATATATATATATATATATATATATATATATATATATATATATATATATATAAAATTGAAATGCATAAAGTAATTCAAAATATAAATTCCTTTTGTATAGGAAAATATATACAAACATATCTATCACTTCAAATTAAAGAAAATATAAATTTATACTACTCTACCTCTAGATGTACTCTTATTAAGATCAATTACATATAAAATTTATTCACGTGTAAATACACGATTATCACAATTAAAAACATAAACAAAACATATAGGATAAGGTAATAATTCAATTTAAGAATGAAAGATTTAAATGTGAGATTTAAAACAACATAATTCAATTTTAAGCTTTCATATATCACACCCATATAAGCTCACATTCACGTCACACTGTTAGTGAAAAATCGATACAAGGATCAAAAAACGGAAGAGAGAAAATCGAAGATCATATGATTGGTTAAAAAATTGATAAATCGGAAAGATGGTTGAAAGACACCCGGTGACCACGAAATAGTATGAACATATAAATCGAGAATGGAAATCGAGAATAAGAAAAGAGAGAAACAAATCGTTGAAAGTAATGATAAAGTATAGTGTAAAGTTAAGGTTAAGGAAAATCGTACTCGATAACTGGAATCGAGATCGAGGGAAACGGTTATCATACATATGGAATATGAGGGGTGGCTTTTCACATCGCGGCTAAGGTTAGAAATCGAGGAACGGTTAAAATGCACATGGAATGTGGAAGCAGTTTTCTAAACCGTAAGCTAAGGTAAAAAAATCGAGGAACGTGCACATGGAATGTGGTGATAGTTTTTTAACTGCTCTTGGGAGGTTATATTGAAGGATGCCTATAAATAGAACGAAGCTTGAAGAAGAAAAGGGAAATTGGCAGAGACAACAGAAGCACAAGTGAAAAGTCTACCGGAGAAACGACGAATCATGAAGTTTCTAGCGATCTGGATTTCCATTTTCATTGATTATCTTTACCGCTTTCTTTACTTTCCCTGGTAATTTACTTCCATATAATTCACTTTCATGCAATTTATGTTCGTTCAGTCATTTACATTTATCAAGTTTAAGGTCCTGTCATTTTAATTCCTTGTCATTTACCTTGATGTCATTTACATTTTTGCAATTTCGATTTCCTGCTATTTACTTTCCTGCAATTTCAATTCCTCGCCATTTACATTTCGACAATTTCGATTTCCTGCTATTTATTTTCCTGCAATTTCAATTCCTTGTCATTTACATTTAATGCAATTTGAGTTTTTCTGCATGTTACATTTCTCTGCAATTTAATATTCTGCACTGTTTTTCGATTCGACACTTTTTACTGCTTCCTTTACCTCGTGTTTCTTAATGAAAAATACCAAAAATAATACTTTCGATTGTCAATCTGTATGCCATATTGCGCTGTTAGCGTTTCTTGATATTGTGGTATTTTTTATTCTCATACATGTTTCGATTGAAAACTGTTTGCTAGTCTAAGTAAAAAGAATCTACATGGTTGAAAGTTGGTTAGAACCTAAGTCTCTTAGAAATCGAAATCAACCAAATTTCCACCAGAAACAAATTGGCGCGCCAGGTAGGGGCTCGTTGTGTCAAAAAACACAAAAAATTGGCTAGTTCGAAAGTATATGAGATTAAGAAGTGGGCGAGTAATAAGAATGAGTCAAAATTCACCGAATAGTTAGAATAACAGTGAGATTCTAAATAGTCCACATCCACCAAACACTGGGGGACAAGTTCACAATGGAAATATGCCTATAATATCGACAACTGTGAGTGCGTCGATGCCTGTGAGTACTGAACAAAACCCAGGGACATTAGCAAATACTCAATTAGGGTCTAGTACTGTAATGTCAAACAATATGCAAACTACGGGAAACCCCGTAACAACATATGCAGGTCCGCATATGAGTGTAAGATCGCTTAGTTTTTTGAATGGGGCTGGTACTTCTTCAATACAACGAAGTACGAGATTTAACCTAGGAATGCCCCAAAACTTAGGAACATTTCAAACCTTAGGTATGCCTCAAAATTTTGGAGTATCCCCAAATTTAAGGGTGTCTCAAAATTTAGTAACGCCCCTGAATTCAGGGAATGCGCAGAATTTAGGAACACAACAGACGCCTCTAATATCAAACCTAGATCACAGAGCAAACCCGGATCATGGGAGATATACATTCGATAAAGATTATCATCGATCCAATTTTGAGACTATCGAAAACGCTAGTATTGGAATTTCCAGTAATTCATTAGGAGTAGTTCGACAACAAATGGATGAAAGCAATTTCGAGATGGTTAACGTGTTATCACAACAGTTGACTACAGTACTAAACCCATTAGTTCAAAATACTACCGCTAGTTTTGAGATATTAGCAAACCAAATGACACGTATCGGGGATGCATTGGCAATACCTCGACAAACGAGGGTCGAAAATAATGTCAATCAGAATATTAACCAAAACGCTAATATCAATCCCCTTTATTTATTAAGGAGAAATTGAAACAATGATCAACATCAGCATGTGGGGAATGAATATCAGCATGTGGGGAATGATACTTATGGAAATTTAAATGAGGGATGTCAAAATATGTATAATCAAAATAACATGCAGTACAATCACATATTAGGACAAAGGATGAATCCCCAAGGAGTGGAATTAAGACCATCCAATCAACCGTACTTTGTTTCTCCTTTTCCAAATACGATTCTCGAGATAGAATTACCTCGAGGATACAAAATACCCAAATTCAGCAAATTTGCTGGAGAAATTGGTGAATCCACTATCGAGCATGTGGCGCAATATCAAATCGAATGTGGGGACCTAACGATGAGTGAGGAATTAAAAATGAAATACTTTCCTAGTTCATTAACAAAGAATGCTTTCACTTGGTTTACGTCGTTGCCACCTAATTCAATATATAATTGGTTGCAGCTGGAAAGAAATTTTCATGAGCAATTGTTTAGGGGGGAGACTCAAGTAAGTCTTATCGACTTAATGAATATAATGAGACATAATCATGAAAGCGTAGATGATT